ATTGGAATGTTGTTGGTAAGAACAACAACAAAAAAATACAGTTTAGATGTTCATCAAGAGGCATATAGTGAAATGAATTATGGCGTATCCATGCCATGTAGTTCTTAAATAAACGAGAAAGATCTCTGTGCAGATAGGGAAAGATTTCTAAGATACATTATTGGGTCTAAAAAAAGCCAATTGAAAAACAGTGTGTACAGGATGAACCTATTTGTGTAAGAATTGAGAGAATATGTATTTAAATATGTATCCTTTATATGTAGACATAAATGTATGTTTCTATAAAGAAAATTCCTGGAAGGATAATACTGACACTGATAAAAGGAATTAGCTATGAGAAGTGGAAATGGTAGATAGGAAATAAGGACTTAGTTCATATCCTCAGGACTGTGAGTGTATCCATCATGAGCATGTATTATTACTTCAGTAGTAATATAATTATTGATGATGTTTCTGAAGATTACTTTTAATGAAATAGCAAAATGTTTGCTGCTGAAACGAAACACCAGGATCTAAAATTCTATACAGGATGATCCAAATAATGTTGAAAAAGAGCATGTGTACGTTTTTGTAGGTATGAGTGTGTGTATATGTAGGGCGGTAGGGATGGATGGACAGATAGACTCTTCGCTGTCAGCTGTTTTGGAAAGTGCTACAGTATAATTAGATTATTTTTTAATATATATTTAAAAAACCTATAATACCTTCATAAACTGATAAGCAATAAAGAGTTATTTTTTAAGCTAATCCATTTACTTTCTGCATCCTGGCTTAATACTTGATTTGACCTTGTTTCCTTGGATGCTCTCTCGCTCATAGAGAGCCCCATGGATTTCAGCCCCATGGATTTTGGTGTCCATATTTGTCTGTGGGGGCATAAGGAAAGTGCTGGACCCTGTTGTGTTATTTATTTCCTATTTTGTCTGCTAATTTTTTTTCTTTTTTGGTCTGTTTTCTTTTTTATCTTTCAGTTCTTTTTCTCTTCTTTTCCCCTCTGCCTACATTTTAGTTTCACTTTTTTTGTATTACATGGCTTCACTCTTGATCTATCATTTGAGACCATTACTGTTTTTGACTTTTATACCCTCTGAATCGTTCATTATTCTTTATGTTCAGGCCGATCTTAGAACGACAGAGAATTACTTTGCCAGCCATTCCCCTGTTTCATTATTCAGTTACATTTTCTGACTAAGGCCATATTATCGTGGACAGCAATTTCTCAGCTCAGTTTGACTTAACAAACTTTTACGAACCCTTGCTCTTTGCCGGGTACTGTGCCAGGCGTTGGGGTTATAGAGGCAAACCTAGTCGTTACTAGATTTACAACTTAAAGTTAGGCTCACCTCTGTCAAGTTGTAGTTTGACACTAAAATCAGCCATAGGAGCCGCCCCTGTGAAGTTCGGCCGTAGTTGGACACACTGTTAAGTGAAGGAGTGGAAGGAAGTTCTAATTAAAAAGCAAATGTTTAATAAGTTTTTGGGTCTTCTAATCCTTCTTAAAAAAAAAAAACAAAACGCCACAAAACCCAAACTTTTCATGGTGTATTAAAGTCAAGCACATATAAGTAGGTCCTTACTAGATGGATGGATGGTTAACGGCCAGAAAGTCCTTAGGGTTACGGTGGTAGGGAATGTTTCTGGTGTAGTTTGCTTTATAGTTTTCCTGTTTGCCACCAGGTGGTTAGTCACTGGCAAACCCCATTCAATCACAACATGCAGTTAGTAATTGTGGGGGTATTGTCTTATGCCGGAAAGGATTTTGTGTATGTCAGCTGTCTTTGACAGCTCAGCCATGAGTGATTCTAAATATATTTAAAATAAAAATTTGTAGGGGACGCCTGGGTGACTCAGTCTGTTGAGCGTCCCACTTCGGCTCAGGTCATGATCTCACAGTTGGTGAGTTCGAGCTCCACGTCGGCCTCTGTGCTGACAGAGCCTGCTTCGGATTCTGTGTCTCCCTCTCAGTGCCCCACACCCGCTCTCTGTCTGTCTGTCTGTCTGTCTGTCTCTCTCTCTCTGTGTCTCTGTCTCTCTGTCTGAAAGGTAAACATAAAAAAATTTGTAATCATGTATGTATAAAAAGAAAAATAGCTTCTGATGTTTCTTTCAAAATAAAGCAGTTCAGAACATTCATATGAATTACAAAATTGATAAGAACAATCTAATTTTGATTTTATTTTTTGTTTTCAAAAATACTTCCTTAGAGATATTCAGAACTCTTTGGAGGTACTAATACTTGCTCAACTTTATTTCTTCTGAAATGGAAACAGAGGCCGTGTTCTATAATAGCACCTCCTTTCTGTGGTGCTTCATGTCTCTAGTTACTTGAATGAGTGGGTGTACTGTTTCTCTTGAACTCTTGAGACTAAGTCCTTTCATAAAGGAACAAGAGAAAAACCAAAGTCATTTCCAGAGTTACTTGCCTTTGGGTTAGTGTTCACAAAGGAGAAAATTGAAGCCCAGGGGAAAATTTTAGAGAGACGGGTCTATGAAAATAGTTTTGCAGTCCATTGACTTTCTAAAAATGTATTGATGGAGTTTGAGAGTCCTTTTGGCTCTCATAATAAAGTCAGTAGGTTATGTTTTCCAGAGTTAAAATGGCATGCCACTTATTACCCTGTTTTTAACTGAAAACATGTTTTTGGGTTAAAATTGAGAAAATAATTGTAGGTTTTAGTCTGGAGTGAAGCTCGTGCCCATCTGTGTCTGTAGAAGGGTGTATTATACTCACATATAGACACATATCACTGCACACAAGTAGGTGCTAACTTTACCGCCTCATGTATCCCAGGTATACACCTGAACTTTCCTGTTAATTGATACCTTCATTTATCAATGCTCTAAAAATAACTTGTCCATTTTTGTTATGGAAATATTCATGAAATGTATTATATATTTTTCCTATCATTTAGAATTGGAATGGACTTTTTCTTAACACCGGGTAGCAGCACTGTAAACATCGGTGATGTTTACACATCCTGTATCCAGGGGAGGGAGGCGTGTGGAGCTAGGTTTGCAATTGTGAGTAAATCCGGGCAAGAGGATGAGGTGACGTAATTGAGGGAGAAACGGAGACGAGAGCAGTAGTTGGTATGTAAAAGATGACTGGATAAATCTATGCTCTAATTGATTTTATAAACAGACAAATTACTGTGACCAGTCACTAGGTTTGAAGGCTCTGTTTCTTAGGATAGTTGAGGTAAACAGGAAATTAATAGCTTTATATTGGAGGAAAAGGTTTATAGGAACCATGTCCATTTACTTCCAGGTAAATGTTATCTTTGTTACTTTCATATCTTACATTTGAGGTTTGACGTTAGTGTGCAAGCAGTTCCAGCAGCTGGAAATGGGCTAAGTTTGGTTTCGCTCGTATGGTGTTCGTACTTGGCATCCTTGGCACTGAGCCCTGTGCCCAGCACTTAGATGCGGAAGACTTGTTTGAGTCAATGGTTCCTTCTTCCCCTGTAGTCAGTGAGAAGGGAGAACTTAGTAACTGTCACTTATCCACAAGGCCTGGGACAACAGCTCACATGTTATTAGCACTTGATAAAAATAATACCTGAAATGATGATTTTGCCCTTTAATGTAAAGTTTGTTTTTCAGAGTTTTCTGAAAGATCGTGCATACATTTATTAGATTAAAAATACACACATACAAAAATACCTAGTACTTAGGACCCAAAAGGAGTGATGAGAGGGAGATAGGGATATGTCACTGTGCGTTGGGGGTGGGGGGTGCAGATGTTAAAAAAGCATGCGACTTTCTGTCCCATTTGGAGAAAGCTTTCCTTAAGGTGTGGTCTTGTCCCCGTGCCCTGGCTCTGCCTGCCCTCTGTTTACAACCACTGTGAGGGTCACTTCCATGGTTAGCCAGGTTGCCACTGCTACTACTGATGTTGTTTATGGGACTGGAGAGAGGTGAGAATTGTGGCTTTGACCTGTCTACCCTTGGAACTTGGAGAAACTTTCCTGTTGTAGATGCAGAATGTTAGATGATTCAGTTTATTCCTCCCTTCCTTCCTTCCTCCCTTCCTCCCTCCCTTCCTTCCTGCCTTCCTCCCTTCCTTCCTTCCTCCCTTCCTTCCTTCCTTCCTTCCTCCCTCCCTCCCTTTTTTCAGTTTATTATTATTTCTTTAGTGATCTGCACACCCAGTGTGGGACTTGAACTTACGACTCTGAGATCCAGAGTTGCGTGCTCTTCTGAATGAGCCATCCAGGTGCACCATAGATGGTTCAGTTTTTTGAGAGTAGAACACAGGTGTTACTTGCCTTGAAATTGCCTACTTCTTTCACTTCACAGATGGCTATAAGTGGGAATTAACTTGAAAATTTAATTGTTTTTTATAGTCTTTGTGTCATTTAAAATTAATGTGTTTATTTTGGAGATGCTTAAAGTTAATCATTAAGATGAGGTGCTAGGCCTTTTTGGAAAAGGTGAAATGGGTAATCAGATACTCAATTAAGCTGTTTGAGTTCCTTAAATCATCTTTTATTGTCGTGATTCTCAATTTGATGAAATTTATGAACCTCTTTTAAAGAAAGCTGAATGTAGTGAACTCCCAGAATATATCAAAAACTCCAGCTGGAAAACACAGGTTCAACAAAGCTTAACTACTTAAACCTTTGTTCAGTTATCATGAAAAGGTGACATTTGATCTTCCTTTGCTGATAAATTAATTTTAACACAGAAACAACAAAGGGTGCTGATATTGCATGTCATAATTTGGTTGTAAGGTATTCATCCAGATGATCCAGAATATATTTACACTAATGTTTTTAAACCTAGCAGTGAAGTAAGACAATAAAAAATCGAATACTTAGAACCCTTAGAATATATCTTTAACCCCCTTTCTATAGCAATCCCCACTGGAAATACTCTTGGGAGACCTTTGAAGTCACAGTGGAGATAGAGGGCTCATGACAAAAAGAAAGGGCTAAGAGATGGGCATGTAGTTGGTTTTGGAGAAAGTGGAAACTAACTACTCTACCTTTCCCTTTTAGCTCCCTTATAAAAGATGCTTCTCCCGTTCCTCTGATTGATGTTACCAACCTTCCTACTCCTCGAAAATTCCTCGATGCCTCTCAGTTTTCTACTCCTGGAAGCTCAAGTGGTAAGCTTTTAATTATTTAGCCACTTAGCCTCTTTTCATAATACTACAATAAGGCAAAGACCTGGGGAAGTCTGGGGAGTCAGGGGTGGGAGGTCCTGGGGTGAGTGCCTTGGAGCCTCTGATGAGCTCTTTGCCACCCTCAGAGGGAATAAGGAAATGATTGGTTGGGCCTGTTGCGTTATCAGCTTTGAAAACTGGCAGCTGAATCTGGCCTGACTCCTGAATCCAGATGTAGTTATGCTTTATTTGACGAGCACGGTTTGTTTTTCTGAAGTTGAATTTGAATGCTTTTTGATGCATTGTCTTTTTTTTTTCTTCTTTTTTATAACCTCTATTGTTTCTGTTAGCTTTTACCCAGCTGCTGCACCTGTTACATTGCCTGTCTGGTTCTTGAGAGCTTCTGAGTGTGTGATCTATATCCTGTGTCCTCTGTACTGATTCCTTGTACCTTCCCGTGGCCTCTCCACTTCCATATGTGCTTGCATGTAGGTGTGCACACACACTCATACATATAATGCACTTCGAGGTCATAGCTGCACACTAACCATGTTTCTTCTTGGCCTTACCTGTTGAGTAAGACAAAGGAGGGCCGTTTTAGCCTATATTTAAAGTTCTTTGAATTTAATGCAGATTTAGGGGAATTCTTCTGGGATGGCTCAGACCTGCTCCGTTGGAGGGTTCAGCTTAGCTTGGCTCAGATTGCCTCTGGGTCTCTGCAAAGAGCTGTTCAACTATTGCATTTCTGGATCGAGGCGAAGGAGATGGGGTGTTTTTGAGAGATGTCCCACAGGTGCCTTCTTGTCACAGCTAAAGTCCTCAATACGTTTTAAGGAATGAGTAATGTTGGTTATCGTAGGCTTTGCAGGTATAAATCAGTTCTTACTATTTCTATAGTCCTGTAGAGCTTGAAATAATGAAAAGGTAGAAAGGTAGAAAAATAATTTGGATTCAGTCAATACATTTTGTGTAACTAATTGAAAGTGTTTCTTTTGAGAGCCTGACTATATATTGTTGTTGCTGGAACATATTTAATTACCTTTTAAAATATCATTTAATTAAGTTTTAGGGTTATTTAGGCTTGGAATCTTGAGGTTTATTGCTTTTACTGTAGGAAAAGTGTAGAAATTATTTTATAATAGATTTTACTGTTAGTCTACTTAATGATTTTTTTTTTTTAAACCCCAACACTTATTTTTATTATGACACTTTACAAGGTTTGTGTTCAAGCCTCTTCCTGGAGCTAAGAAGTTTTGTTTTCTTCCTCTGTCTGTTGTAGTGTTGCTGTTCTCTGAGTTTTGACACTGCTTTGAGCTGTTGTAGAAAGTGGAATTATGAAACACAATATATATTTATACTTTTGATTTGGATTTTTCCCTCTACCTGGAGGAGACATTATCAGTTGTTATATTTTCTTATGTTTATAATGTGAATTATCATTGCTTAGCCTGGTTATATCCATTTAAGTAAATGTTGCCGAGTCAAGGGTCATGTAAAAAAAAATTTAATTGTTTATGAAGAAATGATAGGGCAGGCATTTTGCAAATGAAAAGCACTGTGTAAATAGCAAGTAAGTTGAAAACATGCCAATTATGGCAAATTTAAGTAGAAACTAATTTTGCTCCATCTATTATTTTTAACAAGACAGCTCTTTGACGGGCAGTTTTTCTGTCAGGTCCTGTAGTTAGCGTTTCTCACTTAGTGGAGTTTGTGGTGACACTTTGACTTCGGCGGTCTGTTCTTCATTATTGGGGACCACGCTTGAAGAGCCGGATGTTGTCTGAATGGAGCTGGGACTGTCATGGAGACTGCTTGTACATAAGCTACAAACCTTTCTTTTTGCAAGGGCTCGTTTCTTTGACCGGTTAGGACTTTTGATCTCATGATTTTTCTGTGGGTGACCGAAAGAGAAGGTGGTCGAAATATTACTGGTGGAGATGTATACTAGTAGTAGTTAAGACACGTTTAGGGCCTACTTGTATGCAAAATGGTATGTTGAGTGCTTCATGTGAATTAGCTCAGTCCTTTAACAGTCTTTCTAGGTAGGTACTGTTATAATGGCTCCATTTTACAGCTGAGAAGAACTGAGACATTGGGGGGGTTAATAACTGGCTTAAGTTGACATAGCTGACAAGTAGTAGAGCTGTGATTTCAAGTGAGAAGCTGGATTCCGGAATACGCTCTTCTAACCAGTGCGTTTTCCTGCCAGAGAGGTAGGTATGCTCTGGGCATTAATTTTCCCTTGTTACCCCAACAGATGAACATGACCATCTTATGGTTTTGTAGCTTAGAAGCCCAGTATGGGTCTCCCTGGGCTGTGTTCCTTCTGGAGGCCCTCTGGGAGGCCCTCTTCCTCACCTTTCCCAGCTCCTAGAGGCGGCTGCTTTCCCAGACTTGTTGACCTCTTCCTCTCTCTTCCAAACCAGAGACAAGTGTGTTCACCTACTTCTTGGGTCACATCTCTTTGACCTACCCTTCTGCCTCTTCCTCCCTCTTTTAAGGACTTGTGTGATAGATTGATTCCACCTGGATAATTCTGGCTGCTCTCCCTAGCTCAAGGTCCTTAGCCTTAGTCACATCTACGAAGTCACCTTTGCCATGTAATGCATTCACAGATTCTGGGAATTAGGGCATGGATAGCCTTTGGGAACAACTACTCTGCTTACCATACTCTGTACTGCTTGTTTTCACTTGAGTCGCCTTGAGGAGCCAATATGTAAAATTTTGACTTTCTTGAAATTATGTGTGAAGTCTTTTTTTAAATCACTGCAGTCCTAGTCTTTAGGACTATATTAATCTGGGTCACATTATTCAAGGGGGTTGTATAAATGAAGAAGATGTAAATTATGTAGAGAACTGCACAGAATGTTGCTAAGTACATATAAAAGTATGAGGCTGATGAAATACACTATAAATAAAGGGCAGGTATTTTCTTATTCTTAGTGAACAGTAAGTCCTGCGAGTCTATTTGCAAAGTGCCCTGCAAGTCAGTCCTGGAAGGAATAGTCATTTTCAGCAGGGAATTTAACATGGGATTTTAAAATTGCCTTCTCAGCTTGTGAAATAGTGGGATTGAGGGTGTGATCCACTAGAACTGACATCTTTATAGAGGAAGTTCCAGTAGGGAATCCCTGGATAGAACAGATCTCTCGTTGAGGTGCTATAAATCAGGGTTGGAGGTGATTCCTAAGGACTTTCAGATTATTATTAATTAAACAAGAATTTTGATTGTTTGCAAATGAGTCATTTTTCAAGTGTCTTATTTAGAGGTAGAGATGTGAGTGACTTATGTGAGATTTTCTAATGGTTTACATGTTATGGTTTGCAAAACATGTTGTATCGTGCAACTGATGCAGCAGTCCCCTGAGGTAGTTAGGGCAGGTACTGTTGTCATTATCATGATGATTCTTTTCATATCTATCCTTTTTCAGTCTAGTAAATACTTAAGTTATAAGTAAATACTTAAGTTATCAATATAAACTAATATGGAGTGATTTCCAGGATATATTATAAAGTGAAAATAGCCAAGTATAAGAGAGTATCTGAAGTAAAATTTCTCTTCCTGGAAGAGAAGTATAAGAAACACAGGAGGGATAAACCAGAAACTAATGAAATCGATTAACTACATGGGATGGATAGAAAAACAGAAAAATGATTAGCATCCATTTAACTCTCATACATAGTAATAGGGAAAAGAAATGGCCAAATAAAAACCAGGGAAACAATAGATGATTTACAAGAGACCCAAATGGTTCATATACCTGGAAATATTCTCAACACCACTAGAAACCTCAGAAATGCAAACTAAAATAACAAACTGAAAAAAAAAAAAAAAAAAAAAAAAAAAAAAAAAAAAAAAAAAAACAGAGCCTGTCAGATTTGTAAAAATCGAAATCCACTTGTAAGAATTAAAAGTCTAACAAAGCCAATTTTAAGGGCAAGAAAGAGAGAAACAAAAGCTCATGCACAGGTCAGAGAAATCTACATTGGCACAATCACTTTAAAAAGTTATTTGGCAGGCGCCTGGGTGGCTCAGTTGGTTGGGCGTCCAACTTCTGCTCAGGTCGTGATCTCACAGTTTGTGAATTCGGTCCCCATGTCGGGCTCTGTGCTGATAGATCAGAGCCTGGAGCCTGCTTCAGATTCTGTGTCTCCCTTTCTCTCTGCCCCTTCCCTGCTCATGCTCTCTCTCTCTCTCTCAAAAATAAATAAACATTTAAAAAAATTAAAATAAAAAGCTATTTGGGAAATGAAGTTTAAAATGCACCAACATTCCTCTACATATATAACACACATGGCCCCCCAAGAGTTGGGCTTCCTCAGTTTTTAGGCATTATGGCGCATATGCAAAATAACTTATACAGTACAATGACTTATATAGTACAACTAGGGTAAAGGGAGGTGGCTGAATGTAGCTAAAGAGAACTTGTCTAGAGATTCTGATTGCCCCAAGACCCACCTAGTTACCCGCCCGAAGGCTGGAGGGCCCATTATCCCAGATATATCTACAACCCATTCCCAAGAGATCAGTGGTTGGAGAAATTCTGTCCTACAGAAATATGTACAAACAATCTCATTCCTGTAAGGTTTCTAATAATGACACATTGCAGACTTATAACTTGCCTATCTATAGAAGAATGGATAAATTGTGATTATATAATGAAATACTATACAGTAGTTAAAACTAATAAACTAGAGCTATACTGTAACATAAGAAAACCCAAAAGATACAAAGTTGAGTTTAAAACCCAAGCAGTAAAATGATACATATCATATTATACAATTATAAGCAAATTAATTAAATTATACAAATTCGAATCAAGTAAACGTAAATCAAGTTATACAATTTATTTAAGCCCTACTCAAAATAATATACTTCGTATATATAAACATGCACAATATATAACATTTATATACAAATATATGTATATATATATAAACCACATGTATTGTTTCTGTATTTACAAATATACAACATACACATTTACATACAAACAGTAAAA